TCGGTACGTACGGACAATGTTGAACGACTGCTTCAGCTGTTTACTAACTGCAGACTGGTTTATGCAGTACTTACTTCCGAAATAGCCGGTCGTCTGGCCACACCGTGTCCTCCGACATGCCGGCCACAAACTCAAATCGGCCACATTGCCATCAGTTACCGATGGCGCAGACGACATCTTTCTCATTTTCAAAGAAAAGGAAAAGGCGCAGGTGTTTTTTTGATGAACTTACCAACGTCATCCCGTCCTTTGGTGTACACCTTGTACTCACAAAGTGTAAGGTTATGCTGGTGGACATGCAGTCACTGAACATGCCACTTACAATCTAGGGAGAGCATTGGAAATTGTGGAGCATTTTACATATCTCAGAAGTTGTATTAGTTCTGATTATAGTGTGACAGATGGCGTCAATGAACGAATGTGCAACGTTCGGGTCACATTTGCTAATTTCAGGCACCTATGTCGTCAAAGTGGTGTATCCCTGAATCTCAAGGGACGTGTGCATCAAGCTACAGAACGTGCTGTTTTGTTGTATGGCCGAGACTTGGCCTGTTGGAGCAGTGGAACTGTAACGTCTTCAGGTGTTCAACAATCATTGTCTCAAAACCCTATTTCGTGTGGGTTGGTATCGGCGTATCCGTGACGCGTTCAGCTGTAGCACCCTTCCGGTGCCTAGCTACCATGCCACCCGAAGGAAGCACGAGGGCTAGACAGGGGAAGTCGAGTGGTGGAGGTCGGATTTGACCCACGGACCTTCCGGCCAGTAAATTCGCGCTCTAACCACTTGGGCCATCTCGCCCGTGACGAGGCAGTTAGAAATCGAGTTTCGGTTGTGCCAATGAGTACTTCTATTGAAGAACCAGAAACTGTTGGTTGGGACATGAGTTCGTATGTCTAACCATCGTTTGCGGAAGAGAGTGCTGTTTTCCATGCCCATTTTAGAGTGGCGGAAGCAGAGAGGTAGCCAACCGTTTATCTAGCAGAGGGTTATGAAATAAATCACGAAACTCGGGTGCTGTCGGTGCTACTCGCCTTCCAGTATGGGGACTACGTGATCCTCAATGCGCCTAGTTGGAGACGCTGCAAGACATTGCTGCCAACCGATGTCAGTAGTGATCTTGTTGTCAGTTTCTATCCAGATTGCCTGAATGAGTGTTTGGAGGTGTGGAAACCTCGGAATTATTGTAGCAAGCCGCGCTAAGTCCTTTCCCCGTCCACCTTTATTATTTTCTTCACAGTAAGGCTTTCAAATAAATCGTCTTTCTACGACAGGAAAGCATCGATTTAAACACTGATGTCATACTGTCGATAGTGATGGTGATGATGATGATATTGGCCAGCCTACCCTTTCAGATTAGTGTGTAACGTCGGACTACTCTAACGGACCTCGCGCACAATGAGCGATGCCAACAGTGGGTTTGTGTGAGCTGCATGTGAATTTCACCTGAACCCTGTGTACCACGTTCAAACCCAATGGAATAAGACCGCATGACGAACAGGAGGGCGCAGGTCAATATCCACCAGCGTGTCCAACTTGTGACCCATAAATGTCAATCCAAATGGTTGACTGAACAGTTGAGTACATATACAGGGTGATCTGGTGGTCCGAAGTACCCGAGAGGTGCATCCTAGATACACAAATGTGGCTAATTAGTGCTAGCCATAATTCCGCTATGTCTGTACATATAGTCTCTTCTATCACCATCGTGGGTTGAGCACTCCGGAAAGCCCAAGTGGGGCTTTGCAGACACAGGTGACTTTAGTTTAGTAGTTGAATTTACTGGCATCCGCTTCAGATGGTCTCGCGGGTGCAGTGCTAGTGAGCTGAACCTAGAATGTATCCGCATGACGTTCACTAGTTAGCACAGATTCAACTTGATTCATCCACAAGATGACGTTCATTGAAATTCGCTTCTACCATTATTGCGAGGCGGTGACTGGCAAACTTGCTTTATTCGCTGATATTTCGTTGACGGATCACCGTGTCCGCTGGTAGCCGACCAATTTAATTGCACCAGCACCAAAACGATGCAGTCGCTGAAGATTCAACTTTTTCTGTTCCCAAGTCCAACAGCTTGATGACACCATTTCGTCTTGTACCTTTCAGCTGTTTTGAGTTCGATGTTCATTGAATTGGTGAAAATGACGTCCACTATGTGATCTGATTTAACTCATTATCACTCTCGACAGGCACACTCATTTGCATACCAAATGGGTCTTCACGGAAGACTAACCTGAAACCCAGCTGAATATCTCGTTTATGATGTTCTTCAAGAGCGACCCAAGTGTTCGGACGTTACACAAGACCATGGTTAACGGACGTCCGAGGAAATGCAATCGCTTTTAATTTATCTGCGGTTGAAAAATTTAGTGCGGGCTGTTATGTCACCTCCCAGATGACACCTCATGTAGAGCATTACTTTCTAGCCGCAAGAGATGGTACTTAAGATTGGCCGAACACTTTTAGTATTAGTATTATTCCGATCATTGGTCAGCAACTTATACAGGTAGGATCAAACCGTTGGGTTGCTTTTAATTGGCCCGGCTTCTCGAGTTGAAGGGCAGTGGTGCACGTCCACGTAATAGTGAACATGTTTATTTCAACGGGGTTCACACAGGAACCATAACTCTACGCACCGGCAGTGCGATTGTGGCTTCTGTACTTATCCTAACAGACTAAACAATCCATGGCACCCCAGATATTGCACATCCCGACACGATTTTCATGGTGAGATGATGACAGATGTCCATCTACCATCAGGTTCCTAAAGCAAAACATTGGCAACCTGGTGACACATGTCACCAAGTTTTCTCATGAGACACCAAATGTAACTCATAGGCCGAGTTGCTCCAGAACATATTGACATCTTATCGTAAGGAGCTTAGTAGACCGTGCCATCAACCCTACTGAAGGTAGATATGTAATGAGATTGCGTAGTCTGCTCCGCAGAGGGTCAATGTGCGTTCATGCACATCATCTGTCCGAACGCAATCTTTGACGGTCGTCCCAGTTGTGTAATGCGCGTTTCGGGCTTGGATGCGATCTAGTTAACCCGCATCATTCGCCACACAGAACAGGATGCCTTATGTAGGTGGTCAGTCGAGATCATGCAAGTAAAAACTGAAGGAACATACAGGTAGCCCAAGCCAGAACCATCTGGTTAACCGCATGGGACTCCCTAATTTTTGGACTATCTTCACATGCTATACCCTTATAATAAATTTAGTAAACAATAAGGCAGCACAATTTAACATAGTGAGTGGAAAGCCGGGTATGAGATGGCATACTTACCCCGACAAACCAAGCAAGTGGTTTTCAGTGGCGCGTCACCTCAGGTACCTGCATCTAGACTTGATTAGAAACGGCGTGGTTGTACAGTAGCTGAACCTCCTGTTGTTTTTGATGGCGAAAACAAAAAATGGTTGGTAGGGTATCAGTATTATTACACAGGTCATCAAGCTACTCTCTAGTCTTCTACTGCTCACATTTTAAACTTCTGCAAGTTGCCTTGAATGACCGGACCCATGCAAAGTGGTTCTAGATGCCCACCTTGAATACTCCTCCCACATACGCACTTTGACTTTAAAACGCTTCCTGATACTGGATTCATATGACAGTTGCCAAGGTTTCTCTGGAAGAACTTTTCTGTCGGGCTTTCCTGTCGTGTCGTCATCACAAGCGGAAGCACCCGTGTTGATACTGAATCTTCAATTCTGCATCGACGTCAAGTTTATTAACTTATCTTTAAGATCTTATGTGGATCAATGCAGGGGTAGAAGAGCCCTGGCGCTAGCCCTCACAATTATTTCGAGATGTCCACACCTGCAAACGCCCGATAAAGTAATCTATTCAGATACCGAGAACACGAAAACCGCTGACATCGGTTATCCAACGTACCTTGAAGTGCACCCAACCAACTGAATACCCCGTTGTGGAGGGCGGAATGCACGAAAAGCATCCAAGCCTTCCACACCTTTCACATTATTCTGCGAAATCCCAGACTGTCCCTTTTACACATTCCACTACTTCAAAGGAGGCCCGAAGGACAACACCGGTCTCGGTAGTTGATGGTTTGGCACTTAGCAGTTGTTTTTGGTAGATGTCTTTCGTGATTGGTATGCCTAATCCGCAACCAGAAGCTCGTTTTGTGTTCTATTTCAGACAGATCTTTGTCAACGGTCACCGGATAAGCCAGTCGCTTTTTGGCTTTTGTAATGTCTGTGCCTTTCCATGGACGAATGTGAATTGGACTTGTTGTTAAAAGAACTGGAGGCTGATCACACCGATGTGCTTAAATACATTGACCGAGAGTTGGAGAAGAAGGCCACGACGATGGTTGCTGATGATTATGAGCGCTTGCAGAAAATCGGTCAAGGCACCTTCGGTGAGGTTTTTAAGGTTAGACATAAGTTGACGAAAGAGCATTTCGCTCTAAAACGCCTCAAGACTGAACAGGAAACCGAGGGCGTATGTTGCCTTCTGCACAGTGCTCATTTTCTTTCCAGTTTCCGGTGACCGCTCTCAGGGAGATCCGTATCCTTAGTTCCTTGTCTCACGAAAATGTCGTTTCACTTCGTGGAGTTTGTCACAAAAGAGGTATTTGTTTACTACCGACTTCATCTGCACAGCAAGCCCATCAAGCAATTATAGATACGAATTCTATCTGTTGTTCGATATTTGTGAACACGACTTGGCAGGATTACTGACTCACAAGATCGAATTCAGCCTTGCCGACAAGAAAAGCATTATGAAGCAGCTGTTCACAGGGTTGTACTTTCTGCACAAGTAAGTTCCCGAAGGTCAACATATCAGTAGCTCACTTTGTTGGACTATTTCGTTTACTGTTTACTCATCGCTAAATTTACGATTTTTGAATAGTCGGATGGTGGATTCAGATGTATATGTTTCAGACGCCACACAAAGCAGAAAAAATACCAGTTTATTGTTGGAGTGTAGTTAAATGAATGCGCTCATTGGACGCACAACGCAGTGGTCCCATATACTGACAACCGGCCACCAAAATTCCCTCTATGTATGTGCCCGCGTTTGACACGAATCCTGGGATGTCTTTGACAGTTTACCTGGTTAGCGTTTTCATACTTCGTTGCCACTTCCTAGACCATCCACTTCTCCGTCACTTCAATTCAGCTCAAGGGTGAGCGAAAATGGTTCCGTGAGGTAGATGGTTCTGTCATGTGACGTGTCGGCTCAATCTACAGAGGATGAATAGCACATCCCTCGTGAGGGAGTTCCTTAAAACCATCTCGCCCACCTCACCATTGCTAATCCGACTTTCTCACCAGAATCGCCTGATGGTCCGGAGACACTGACGGTCAGATAACGGGGGTTTCCATACATTCCCTGCGTGTAGATCACCCACAAAATAATGTTTCGCACGGTCGCAGTACCATTGACAAACTCAAGTCACTTCGGTACCATAGGCGGCGGTTGACTGTAAAATCTGCCCTGGCCTTCTAGACTCAAGATGTAGTCTCGTTTGCAGCCCATTATTTGAACCTCATGTGTAAAACTGTATTACATAGACTGACTGATTTGGAAGCTTGAGGCTTGGGTTTTTAACCTGCTTGATCTCGGAGTAGTACCGAACCGTGTGGTAAAATTACTGAGATTTTTTAAATCATTTGAGCCTACAAAGGAATGAAGCCATGAAAATAATGTCGTCTGCATGCTCAGTGTCCGTGAGTGAACACGCGGGAGCATTTCGATCACCGAAGTTTCAAAGACAAGCGGAGAAATTTCGAGGAGCACATCACTAAAGAATTTGTAAAGGACTGGGTCCAGTTGGTCTCGATTATTACTCGCGTTATTTGAAGGATGCTTTCCGTATAACGGACGAGCTTTATGATCTTGAAAACTTGGCTGAAGGATTTCATGGCGTTCATCGGTTAATGAAACTCACCATTCATTCGGCATGCTTCCAAGTCACATCAGATGGGTTTTTGCAGTAGAAAGAGGACTTGGTGTGCTGGGTATACCGACTTCTCTAGCTTGGTTTCTTTCCTTTACAGATAACACCTAGCTAGGTGCCCAGCGTCGAGAGCTAGGAAGAGGCTGCTTGAACAACATACTCCGAAATAATGGTTACCCTCAGGGGTTTGCTGACCAAACTCCCTACTGCGGAGCCTTCCACCAGTGGCCGTCGAGGGACGGACTGACGATACTAACGAGGATACTTTTCACACTCTTGATGTGAAGTTTTTTCAGTTTACACCCAACACCCGAGCTATCCACATTCCCTTAACAGCGCCAGTCATCCAGTAATTCCACTGAACAATACTGATGTTCATTTCATGCTTGTTTTACTCCTTCGCACGCGTATTAACGCCTATGCCATTTGTATTGGGGGTTAGCCTTCCACTTGAATCCACAAACATGTAGCTGGTAACAGTGCTTAAAAGGTAGGCAATGCCCAACCTAATCGATACAGCCCACAGAGTGGATATGAACATAGCTTTTAACGTCAACCCCTCACCACCCGTCCAGCTAGTGCAAACTCCCTGAAAACAGCCTGACCAACTTTATTAGGCTGTAGACACCCGGGCTACACAAACAAGCAAGCCTAACCAACGCTCTCCTGCTAAATAGACCACTCCCAGGTCAAACGTGAAACCACTATGTACGTTGTCATTCAAGCGAAATTGAGTGGCTTCTTGTCACATTCCCTCGTACTCGCTTGTTGTGTTTCCATCTTCACAACCAAATATGATACGCACTGGCCAGCCGACAATAGTCTGAAGCCAGTGGAAACAACAATAATGTTCGGATGGAGTTATTGGGTTATCTCTGGACTTGAGGTAATCCATCCTTATTTTCCCGCTGAGTCGTGCAATACGTTAGCATGCTGCAGTTTATCCACGGCTTCTTTTTTCTCTCCTCAGGAATAATGTTCTGCACCGCGATCTCAAGACTTCAAATATCCTTATTGATGCCAAGGGTGTGCTCAAAATCGCTGACTTTGGTCTAGCTAGGCTCACAGTTGCCCCAGTACGTCCGGATCGGCCATCTCGATACACCGGCCGTGTCGTTACTCTCTGGTACCGCCCACCGGAAATCTTACTGAATGATCGATATTATGGCAAACCCGTGGATTTGTGGGGCGCGGGTTGCATTATGGCTGAATTATGGACGAGATACCCCATAATGCAAGTAAGCGTTTCAGCGCGCGTTATTCTGATCGGGATTTTCTCGTTCTATTGGACTGTCAGTTTCATGAGGGGTTGTTTGGCGTCGTCCTTATTCATTCCTATAAGACATCCAGAATTCCAGTTAAGTTCAACTTAGTGAGACCAAAGGATATTTGCAGGTAAAGTTTGTTGGTTGGAAGACCGATTGGTAAATGGTATTCTGGCGTTTCTCAGGATGATTGCTCTTTGAACGTATCCTAGTTTGCGCCTTACCTCTCACCATCCTGTACGGTCGAACAGCCGTACCCTTTGCATCCGAGTATGTCTTCACCACTATTAATTCAGGAAACGAGAATGTTTGTAAATATGTTGTGTGTCCTTCCGAATGAGTAGTATCATTATTTTAGGAGGATCGCTCACAACAATCTCATTATCCAGCCGACAGGTTTACTGCTTCAGGATTACTCTCTTACCGGCTTGTACTCGAAAGGTTGGATGTTTCGAACTCCATGGATTTTTTGTCTGTCGTACGAATCATTTATGTCTCCCATTCTTTGGAGATTGTGTTTGGTGAAGCAACTCATCTTACCAATCCATTGCTTTACGGTTTTATGGATTATGAACTTCGGCATATTTGATTAAGAAGCCACTTTTTTGTTCCCGTCACTAGACGTGTTCTGTTATGTGGTGTGAAGAGAGGCTAACCACTGTATGAGTTAGCAAAGCGTGTTCTGCTAGTACCGCTTCCGGTGTCATACTGTCCAACTGCCTTCTTTAATCAACCTGAACGCTTGATTCTCACCGGGAATAATTTTATCCTTAGAATCACCCATTCGCCCATGTCGAAAAATGAAACACACTACCCTAAAAAGTGTCAACCCTGGGAACCAGCAAAAATTGCGCTCCTCTTCTGAGCGTCTTATTCAAGATCCGTAATTTTTCAAAATTTTTACCTAAAGTTAGGTTAGACCACGACTGATGTAAGGGGATGTAAATTAAGGAGCCGTTTTACTGATATGCCAGGAACATAACCGGGTACCGTCATCGTGCAAATAAAAAACAGATGTTTTTATCGTTAGTCGGTTTGTTTAGGGGGTTTGGCGACACGTACATTCATTCTTTCTCAAATTTGGTGAAATTCTTGGAATAGATGAGAATACACAATACCTCTTTCATGCGCTGTTGCCGAGTGGATGTGATTTTAAGGGTGAACTGCCGTTCGCTTTCCTTGGATTGGTCTTGCTCTACATTGGTTTTAACAATCTGTTCCCCCGTTGGGCACGCAGGATTGTCATCTCATGTTTTCAAGTACTGAGCGTACAAGCATTGCTTCAAAAGTTTTCAGTAGTTTTGTGCCCATAGTGTTGCATAATCCATTGCCTTTGGCTTCCAAGCAGGCAGGCGTCTACCATTGCAGTACGGACATAAGTTTCTCTAAAAAGTTCTTCCAAACTAGCCGGTATGTAACCGTAAGATGATGCATTAGGCTGTTTGAAGCTGTATTAACAATGCTTGTACTGCACCGAATTTTAATGAGCGTAAGGATGAATCAGCTAGTGCTGCTTGGCTGACTTGCCTCTGCATGGAGCCTGCCATATGCTTCCTTCCACCCAAACCGATCGCTTTTGGTCTACTAACCGTGCAGTGAACTGAAGTTAATCTGTTAGAATCCGCACGCACCGTGATATCGCGTTTGGCATTCTGGTTGTGCCCCTAAAAACGGTACTATGCGGGATCAACCTACAAGCTTGAGTTGGTCATGACTGGACTTTTCCAAGACTCGTATAGGCAGAATTCAAAGGGATTGGTACCACTTGACTCCGCATTCTCCGAGTATTTGGCAACTTGATGTCATATTACAGTTGTATATGCTATACTAAGCTGGTATCCGTTTCCAGTTTAGCTTATCACATCGAACTACGCCAGTGAACTCCCGCGCACACTGGTGCCAAATCAAGTTTGGGCTCATCCGCATATGCATTCACCCGGAGAAATAAGACCGCAGGGTTAACAGAAGGAGGGAGTTCTAATGCCACCAGCAGGCATAACTTGCAACCCATAACTGTCAGTCCAAGTGGATGCAAGTGAACAAGTGTATGTACATGCAAAGGCTGATCTGGTCTCCTGCATCACTCAGGTAATGCATTCTAGTCATAGTTCTAGCCATAATTCAGCTAGGTCTGTAAGACGATGGTCACAGGCTGTCATCTCTGGCACAATTGTGGGCTAACTAGTCCGAAATAAGCAGATAAGCAGCCTAATAGTTGAATTCAGTGGTGTCCGATTTGGTAGACCGGGGTTTTTATTACTAGTAGGCTCAAACCAAAGTGAGTATTCATGACGTTCTGTAGTTAGCCATGATTCAACTTGATTCTGTCCACATGATGATCATTGAGAGTTTGTTCTAGCACCTCTGTGGACTTAGCTATCTGAAAGTTTCGCCGACGGATCACCGTGTGTTCGCTGGTGGTCAAGTAATCCAATGCTACTAGCACAAAACGGTAGCAGTCCCTGCAGATTCAGCTTGTTTGATTCCCAGACCCAGCAGGTGATTACTGGTGATTATACTGTTGTGCAATGCTTAGTGACTTATGTACATTGTTTCAGTACTCCGAAATCTGACGGGCTACACCACCCACGTCTTCACAGACTAAGACTATCACGTTATCTTTAGATGCCAGTTGCACACCGACTGCCACCGTGGATTCAGACTGTTAGTTCAGATCAACTGCATCGTCCGATTTCCACGAGCATCTTGTTACCTTACCCTGGATGCCACACTGAGACCTGATTGGGCAGTAGGCTGACCCTACTGCTGTTGATCTCTTTTTCATCAAAATATCATCACCGTTTTCATCCAAAACTGATCTTCTCTGTAAACCGTATGGGTGACATCTTGAAACAGGAAAATTCATTAGAACTTTCACGTAGTTAGCACATGGTAGTCTCTTTACAGAACATGGTGAGTTAATGAGCGCTTTCCTGGAATAGCACTTCGTTTATTGGCACGAAGTTCAGCGTCTTACACTCTTTTTATGCAGTAGAATGAGGCACTGAGAACGCCCTACTGCCGTGGGACAAAGAATTTCTCCAACTTGGTTTGCTGACTATCCATACTGTCGGAGTTTTATACACAAGGTTTACATGTTGGTTTTGGTTGGTAAGGGAAATTAACACCCCGGAGACATCAAAGTGGTCTTCTAGGGGAAATGCTTGAGGTGTCTTTCGCAAGGCATCGGTTCTAAGCCATATCCATCCCGAGGACAACTTCGGAAGAGGAAGGTAGTGATGGTTTTGCTTCATAACGCACTGTACAAGTGCCCAACATGAACCCATGTTACGAATCTTTCATGACTTCTTATATACTTGTCGCAACAGCAGGAGCAGGATAGCAGGGCACTTGTGATGCAACTCGATGTCTTCAGTGAGGCCCCTGTTTCAAGCCTGATGTGTTTCAATGCCATTATATGGTTCCCTCCCATGGTCGTTCATTGGTAGGACGCTACAAGCTGGTAAGGTTTCCTGATTTCAGTTCGACGCAGTATCACTCCCAACACATGTTTTATCCATAAGTTTAAATGGTAGAACGTGAATTTCCAATCTCTTACCTTCATAGCCTGTGTATTGTTGTACCGTCTTCGCAGACGGCAACGTGAATTACCAGTTCTATTCTGTTCATATTACTCTACAGGGCGACAACGAGCTTGCTCAACTCAACCTGATTATCCAGCTATGTGGGTCGATCACGACAGATATTTGGCCGGCTGTCAAGAACCTTGAAGCATTCCAGAAGTCCAAACTACCTAGAGATGTTAAGCGTCACGTCCGAGAAAAACTCACTCCGCAGATACCCTGTCCATCGGCAGTGGATTTGATTGACAAATTGCTTATTCTGGATCCATCGAAACGGTTTGATGCTGAGCAGGCTCTTTCACATGATTTCTTCCATGAAAACCCACCTCCGTCTGACTTGAGTTTTCTGTCAAAGAACGGAAACTGTTACCTGGAATACTCGGGACAACTAAATCGAAACCGTCATTTGGTAGCCGGAAACAATTTCCGTGGTGCGCATCCCGGTCAGAATTTTGCAGGACGCCGCCATCCAGGTGCAGCTGGTGTTCCAGCTGCACTTGCAGTACATCAAGGAGTTAATGCGGGTTATCGGTATCGGGGTCTTCCACCTGAACAGGATGCCTCGAATATTAGTGATCGCATTTTTTAAATCTGGATATTGCTGCTGACAACCTATTTGCCAAACCTCGTGGTTCTAGTTGTTTCTGAAAAGCACCGCAATTCTCGTCCTTTTTCGGATGACACCAGAGGTGCTTTTGTAACCGTGCGAGGGTCTTTGTGATATTATTGGTAAATGTGGTTCAAGATTCTAACATTATTTTCCATTTTCTCTTCCCATACTACATCCGCCCCTTCATCTCGAAAGTTATGCATTTACCTGTTTCCAAGGTGTGTCCATATTGCCGAATGACTGCGCGCTTTCTGATGGTAACGGTCTCTCTGTTTTCTTGAACATTCTGGTTTGATAAACGAGCGACCACGGCTGTTGTGATTAATTGTTGTTTGTTCGACCAGATGACCACCCTTCTGCTAAGCTGCCTATTTTGTAATAGAAACTGAGAGAATTATCAATTGGTCCATTAAATTGGTGGTATTTCTCAGGTAATTTTCATTTGTGTGGTCGAAAATGTGCATGCAATTACGGATCCAGCAACGGCGGACATCAGTTCCAACGAGTAGAGCACGATATCTGGAATAGATTACAGTCGATTGATTCTATTCACAAACCCCAAACTTCCTTACAGCGTAAGACTTTCTGTGTAATGGGGAAACAGACTAAACTTGTCTGTTCGATGTTGGGATTTTTCGTGAACCTCAGGATAATTCCGGATTTTCGACTATCCGAAAAATATGTTTGCTAGGTTCGTAACTTTCTTTTGAGTCCGATATACATTTTTGTGGTAAGCTACGACTGACCTAGTGTTCCATTACTTCTGGACATGGGGTTAGAATGTCAGGTGTCATATAGTCGAATGGCAGTAATTGTGACATGGATGTAGTGGCACACAGTCCAGCTGCTTCGGTCCCTAGGTTCCCCTCCCATGTAAGAAAGTTCTGTCATGCACCTCACCGGTTTTGAGGATACCGAGCCGTTGACTGAGTCGAAACGCAAGGTCCGCTCTACGAACACTTATCTGAGGCAGAAGGGGGACGAATTTGAAAGTTTGAGGATCTGCCGATTTATTTTGTCCTGCATACAGTACTCTTTTTTCCATGACTAGTTCCTGAACGATTGCATCTTTTGGTGCTGTTGTACGATTAGATGCTATGTAGATTATTATTTCTTTGAGGGATAAACTGCTGTAAGGACTACCTGTCGCTATTTATCGGGACGGTGCCTGATGGTTTGCACATACCCGATCCACTCATGATCCGAGGACCTTTCCCCTGAGCTATCTCCACATCTGACCGCCAAAATTCAGTCATATTTTTCGAAATGCTGAGAAGGCTGTGCTTCATTACACCCCAATTTGCAGTGCCTTCGTCGCCTGTTTATTCGTTCATATATATGTGATCCTAAGCATCTTCATCTATCCACGAAAAACATCGCGGGTTGTGTGTCGACCCGAAATGTTATTGGCCATTATCTTTCCTGGGTTTTGGAAGATCGTGCTTGTGTTCCCAACAATCAACCGAAAAGCGCTTCGCTTCAGAGGATTTTCAGTTCACCGATTGAGAGACGTCATTGTCAGATTACAAACGGCATAGTGCGCCGCATTTTGCATACTTTATTGTATGTTCATGTCTTCGCGCCTGATTAGTTCACTATCTTACTGGCTCGGTGGCATTTGGGTTCGGTCATTCCTTGTTTGCAGTATTGTATTTAGTGCTTTGGTAATTGAATGGTCGAAACCAGAGTTTGTCTTCAGTGGTGAACTCAGTCGATTTCCTGAAGACTACTTCGGGTCAATGTTAATCGGTGGTCTCGTCAGCTTGTATAGCACCGGTCTCACCTTAGGTTCTGTGTTGCCTTCTAATTCCACGGTCCTGCTATATGATCTTGGTAGTTTGAGGCGTAAAAAGTGATTTGGAAAGGGTAACTTTAATTGTATTTTGTGGGAGTTCGTCGAAATGGAGGTCGTCTTGAGGGAAGTCCCATGTTTCACTCGTCACGCTTGTACTCAAAGGCATGCAACCAACTGGATACTCTGTTTCAAGGGTCCCTTACAGTAGCATTCTGTAATATTGAAATACTTTTCCCGCGACCGGTCGGCACTCTTCTTGAGAGCTGATTAGGCAAACCGGTTTAGCTGAAAGACGCGGAATTCTGGCTCTACGGCCCAGCTCAGACAGACGAGAGTAACCGACGAAATCAACGCAAGCAAGGCAACCGTACTGTAGACAGCGATCGGTGGTCTTCAAATGCAGTCAGTATGTAAGCCGACACCCAAATTTGACCAATTGTTAGCTCTTCGTTGATCTACGAGCGGACTGTGACTTCGTGGATGAAAAATTTGAAGAAACCAACTTCAGTCTCTGTAGCCTTTGGTGGGTCACCACACTCAGCATAATGGTAAACATCTTACACCGTACGGTAATCCGAACTTCAGGCATCTTCGGTTGGGCGTTCTATGCCTGTCCTAATAAACATTCGCTGAAGGCATCTGCATTTTCGATTCCTGAAAAACCTGTTCTTATTACGGGTTAAATCCGATTGCAGAAAAATGTGGGTCGCATGACAACAACGGAATGCAGACAATAAACCAGCTCTGACGAAATCTGTGTAAGCAACCGTAAAACGATTGAAGGAAAGCCGCATCTCCACACTGAGGTGTTTGCGTAATTGTGTTTACTTTATCCGTCGACCTAGTCGGCCAGGTTTCACACGTTTAATCGCCGATCGAGGTGGCATTCTCAGCGCCTGTCAAAATTTGCAATGCTCCACTGACCATTTCGCTCTCAATTAGTGGTAAAACAAGCAAACTAGCGGGCCAGCTCGGCGAACATAACCGCCGACCGTACAATCCGAGCTACCAATATTCTGTAAAATTTACTGGCTGTTACGTAAGAGTCGGGTGTGTTAATCTACGTCAGATCAGACAAAGCAGGGAGTTGAAAACAGATGGAGCTGAATGTGGGAAATCAGAACTCTGTGGATTGGTTTGTGATGGCATAATAACACTTGACACACCAGTAGACATGCAAGCCTATGAACTGAGTTTGTAGGGCCTCAGATGTACGGTATAACAAATTCAGCCAGAAGGGCGAACACTAGTGAGAGCTGAACAATTAGAAGGATTCGAATGAAATCGGCGTTGATGTATGAACGCAGTCTCAGAAATCCCAAGCTGTTGTATATGATAGCCCAAATTTTCAGACGGATATATTTGTCCTCAAACGAGGTCTGAGTTGTGTCGAGAATTCTTCGTGGAGAAATAAATTGTTCCCTTACTTATGCAACTTACGGGACTAAAGTTGGCCCAGCCAGATGGACCTGGCGCGTGAACCAAATGCGGTCGACAAATAATACTAGTTTTTCCCCAGCCTGTGGGGAACATGCCAATTGAGGCGCGATCACGTCGTTACCACATGAACGCTGCAGGTGACAACAAAACTGGAGGGGAAAACCAACGAGACACTTCTCACTGGAAACGTCAGTGCGATCGAGGGAACAATAAACAAGGACAACGGGGAAGAGGTAAAACTAGTCCAATGACTAGTTCGGTGGACGTGAACTAAAACTGAAAAAAATTGCTAGCCATGAGTGCCCCTGGGCGCTTGAGCAAGCTGCAGGGTCACAAAGAGAGAAAATGGGCCCCTGCCTAGAAGCGCTTAAATCATAAAGTTATCGAGTTGTGACGTTACCGAGGAGTTAGATATTCAGTCTGCAACTTCCGGTGACATGTAGCTCGCAACATTTTGTTTAAGTGAGGTAAATTTCAGGGTCGTGAACCACCACCGACTCGAATTTTCTCAGGTTTACAAGAAATAAAACTAGATTCGCGCTTGAGCATATTCTGGCGTTCTTCGGTGTTCACTGAGAATAAAATAATATCTACAGAACATTAATGCGAATCTCACCCTGGAAAATTGGTCAGTGATGTTTGTCTGCTTCACAATTCTAAGCTTTAACATATGCGATAATTTTTCAGGCTGGTCACAATAAACTTTTCCGTGAATCTCAGCTTCCATTAAGTACAACATTGTTAGACAACAGTTGGAACTGCGCAGTGGCGACGAGAGGGCCATCTCTGTGGATGATCCCCTTTCCCGGATATTCATAACTAGCCTGCAGGCAATACAGCCTCATGAGCTAGCTGCAGGTACCACTCCTATTATAAATATGGTGGTGACTGCCATAGAGCGGTCGCCCTGATAACGGTAGCCATTGTCACTCACCTTGATTATTCGTCGCAACTGCTGTGTCCGTGTGTATGTGTGACGCTGATTATGGGGCCTCGCCTATGCACGGCAGCCCAATCCGATGACCAACAACGGCCCCTTATACTCATAACTCTACGCATTGTCACTCATCTCGAATACTCATTGCAAATTTTGGGCCTGCGTCTACGTGCGACGCTGATAGGGATGCCTCAACTCTGCACAGTAACATGATCAAATCTTCATCAGCGTTGTCAGCCGTAATAACCGCGTATTTGTCGTATGGTGGTTGTAGCTGCCACAGTTCCGTTCACCGATGATTCGGGGAGGTAGCGTAGGTGGTTGCGCATGGGAGGCGGGGGCTGATATATTGGTGCGTAAATACAGCACTGTCAGTGGACTTTTAAGTGAGGAAATTGGGAAGGGGCTATGCATCGAATGCAATAGCCAGGATGCATGGGCGCCATTGAGCGCGCGACTAGGACATCTTTGACAATGCCTCTAACCATTGATGTGGCCCGTCTAGGGGTCCCCATCCGGGAAGACAGCAATGCACGGGGCAACTGAGTTTGATTGTAATGGCTTTCACACTTCGCTGCCAAGTCATTGTTTGGCCGCCTCTGTCTCTCTTCCACCCTTCATATGGTTAGGCGAAAAGAGCCCTTCGAGGAAATCGGTCGACTGGCATACGCAGCACGTGGCCAAGCCAGCGCAACCTGCGCAGTGTGGTCAGTTCATCTATCGATGGTGAGATAGTTCTCCCGAATACCATTCGACGTACTTCAACGTTACTGATCCGGTGTTCCCACCAGGCTTCGGGAAAGCTTTGGGCGTGCATCTAGGACGCGGCAAGAAAATGAAGATGGTGACTAATGGAAATTTTCGTCTCAGAAATGGGGGCACATTTAAACTAACTATACTCATTGGTGTCACTTTTGTGTGGAATTCATGGCGAAGGCTAGTTTGATGAAGAGATAGTGCCAGTGCATAGCGCCAAACGAACACCGGAAGTGAAGCCGAACATGTGGAAGCGGTAAACCAAAACTACAGGGGAAAACCGTGTAGGTTAAAACTGAATGAACGGTTCAACGGTTTAATATGAACTCTTTCCATCCGCGGTTAAGACCGGGTGAAAATTAGTTCGTAGTTGCAATTATGGACTCGAGTGAGCGATAGGCGACGGTTGGGAGGAGAAAGAATGAGTGTGCCAGTACCACGCCATCATTGTACCGATAACGGTTCCT